TGTTGTCCGGATGCCAGACCACTGCCTCCCAAAACAGGTCCTGTTCTCTCAACTGAAAGAAGGGTACCGTAACGTGGATGGACAATGGAAGTCTTATAAGGACTTGCTGAAGGACAACCTAAAAAAAGTAATATTGACACTGACACTTGGGAGACACTTGCCCAGGATCACTTAAAATGGAGTGAAGTCCTACTTGATGGTCTTCTGCATTTAGAACTTGCTTGCTGACAAGCTGAAGAGGACAAGGGACGCAGGAGGAAGGAGAGACTTGTCTCCAGTCACGGTCAACAGCCTCCTGCTGATCCTGAAAACATCTGCCCACATTGTAATATAACTTGTGGTTCAAGGATTGGCCTTATTAGCCTCCTGAAGACCCATAATTCCCATGGAAGATGATCATACTCAGTAACGAGTGATCGTCCCATCATCATCATCATCACTAGAGGTTGTGGGGGGCAGGCAAGGCAGTCTACACAGAAAAGTGGGCAGTGCTGGAGATAGGGGAGCAGGCAGGGGCTGTACACAGAAAAGCGGGCAGTGCTGGGGATTGTGGGGGCAGGGACAGGGGTGTAAATAAACAGGTGGGAAGAGCTGCTGAAATTCAATTTTTCTTTGTGATTGTTGGCATTTCACCCATGAAAAGAACCATCGATCTTTGCTCCTCAGCTGGTTTGATCTCCCATCTTACTCTGACCCCGTTTGTACTCTCCTTCCCCATCCCAGACTGCTCCAATTCCAACAGCACCCTGGTCACCTGTGTCTTCTCCATGTTCCCAAGTCATCCCTGGCTCCCACCACCTCCGAGCCACCCCATGCTCCCCACACATCATTTTCTGCAAGGGGAGAGGTGTCTCCCATCACACCTCCTCCCTTGGCCAGGAGGTAATCAGTGACTGCGTCTCACCCATGAGAAATCTCACACACGAGTGGCAAATGCCAAGGCACCTATGCAGCTACTCTTGGTGCTTTGGGGGCTGCTACCCAGGAACAACTCGCAAGCTGAGAAGTTTGCATATTGTATAATGAGAGCGGGCAGCTCTGGGACATGTGAGGGCCTAGATCAATACAGCTGCCATGTGCAGGAGCCACTGGCAGCTGCCTGAAACAGTGGGCCACTGGGACACAGACGTTAAACCCAGGATCCTCTGGGACCATTTGCTAGCCAGCTCTGTTAGTCATTAACGGTGAGGGTCATACACTCATTCCTCAGTGCATAGATTTTAGGGGGTGAAGTCATTATTTTTCTCACCTAAAACATTCGTCCATGCAGAGCCTCATGGGATCCCTCAGTCTCGTGAAATACACACCTAGTGTAACATTTCCAAGGCATCGCAGTCACAAGAGAATTTCTTCCCACTGGGCTAAATTCAACACAGTCATGAATAGAAAAATTGCCTTCTGTAAGCTCAGGTGCAAGCTTTCAGGGAAAATGCTTCCAGCTGACTCCTGGGAACATGTTAAAAGATTCCAAGGTCAGAAGGGACCGTTGTAATCATCTGGTCTGTATAACACAGGCCTGAGAATTTCCCCAAAACTATTCCTAGAGCAGATCTTTTAGAGAAATATCCAACCGTGATTTAAAAATTCTCAGTGATGGAATCTTGATAAATTGTTCCAATGGTTAATTAATCTCACCATTTAAGAGATGTACACCTTATTTCCAATTAGAATTCCTTTAACTTCAACTTCCAGCTGTTGGATTGTGTTGCACCTTGGTATGCCAGGCTGAAAAGCCTATTATTAAATATTGTTTCACCATGACGGTACGGTGGCAGAGCACTGGCTTTGCCTTCGAGGCGTCCTGCACTTTTAGGCAGTTAGGGTTTGCCTTAGAGGTTTGTTGTGACCCTCAGTGTAGCCTCTATCCCCTCCTAGAGGCGAGGGTTACAGTTTACTGAGCCACCTTTGTCATCGGCTAGTCAACGGGTTCGATGTGAGAACCCTCTTTAGTCTCTGTCTTCCTTCTCAGGGAGCATTTGTGTAGAAATGGGGGGGGGGGATTGGGGAGGAACCCGGGCCCACCCTCTTCTCCAGGTCCCAGCCTGGGGACCCTAATTGGCAGTTTTCCTATACTACCAGAACTATAGTCCTTCCCTGGGCTACTTCTCCAAACGGCCCCTCCTAGCATCCTCCTTGGTACCTGGCCACGCTTGTTCTCCCAGGTCTTTTACTGCTCACCTTCTTTCTTCCAGTCTTTCCACAACACACCTTCTTACTCCCAGCTCCTACCAGCCGGTCTCTCTGAAGGGGCTTCCTTTTAAACTAGTCCCAGCTGGTTCTAAACAGGCTTCAGGTGATCTGATTAGCCTGTTTCCCTTGATTGCTTCTAATCAGTTCTTATTTGGTTCCAGGTGTCTTAAGGAGTCTGCTTGACTTAATTGCTTCTAGCACCTTCCTGACTGCTCTGGCACTTGCCCTGATCACTCAGGAAACAGAAAACTATTTATCCAGAGTCCAATGTGTTTTCCTTCTACCAGACTCCTGCACCCAACCGGTCTGAGTCTGTCACAGTACTTACAGACTGTTATCAAGTCACCACTTAACCATCTTTGTTAAACTAAATAGACTGAAATCTTTGAGTCTGTCATTATAAGGCAATTTGCCTACATTCTTTGTTCCTAGACGTAGATATCTACATAGTCATATTAGAACACATTGTTTGCTTTGACCCAGTTAACCAATCAATCCAGATTGCTCTGAATCAGTGACCTGTTCTCTTCATTATTTAAAATCCTCCAATTTTTGTGTAATTTGTGAACTTCATCAATGTTCAGGCATGAGAAGGACTAGCAGCTAAGTTGCTGACATGTGTCTCTGCTTACACTTAGAATATCAGGGTTGGAAGGGACCCCAGAAGGTCATCTAGTCCAACCCCCTGCTCGAAGCAGGACCAATTCCCAGTTAAATCATCCCAGCCAGGGCTTTGTCAAGCCTGACCTTAAAAACCTCTAAGGAAGGAGATTCTACCACCTCCCTAGGTAACGCATTCCAGTGTTTCACCACCCTCTTAGTGAAAAAGTTTTTCCTAATATCCAATCTAAACCTCCCCCACTGCAACTTGAGACCATTACTCCTCGTTCTGTCATCTGCTACCATTGAGAACAGTCTAGAGCCATCCTCTTTGGAACCCCCTTTCAGGTAGTTGAAAGCAGCTATCAAATCCCCCCTCATTCTTCTCTTCTGCAGGCTAAACAATCCCAGCTCCCTCAGCCTCTCCTCATAAGTCATGTGTTCCAGACCCCTAATCATTTTTGTTGCCCTTCGCTGGACTCTCTCCAATTTATCCACATCCTTCTTGTAGTGTGGGGCCCAAAACTGGACACAGTACTCCAGATGAGGCCTCACCAATGTCGAATAGAGGGGAACGATCACGTCCCTCGATCTGCTCGCTATGCCCCTACTTATACATCCCAAAATGCCATTGGCCTTCTTGGCAACAAGGGCACACTGCTGACTCATGTGGCTCACTTGTCAGTTAACACCTGGAACTGATGCCTCAGACAAAGCTGCCTGCATGAAAGAAAGTGTCTCACCAAAAGAAACAAGGGAAGTAACAGAGGTGCAGACCAGTAGCCCTAAATGTTAAGACCCTTGTGCCATTTGTGTCCATTCTGTTGAGCACAAAGTCATACCGCAGCATCATAATGTCTGTTTCCATGGGGGAATTTTGCCTCCTTTCCAACATAGGAATTGCATCGTGAGTCAGACCTATGGTCCATCTAGTCCAGTTTCCTCTCTCTGACAGTGACAGCCCCAGGTGCTGCAGAAGAAGGTGTAAGAAACCCAGCAGTATGTGGATGGGGGGATGACCTAACCATCATGAGGGTGTCACCCTTATGCCTAACAGCTAGAGATGGGCTTGTTCCCTAAAACAAGTGGGTGTATAGGCTTTCCAAAATATTTATTTAGCTGTAACTATTGTAACTGGATAGCCTTACTATCCATGTATATCTCCAAACCTTTGCAGATTCTTGCTTAGCTCATGGCCTCAACTACCTCCTGTGGCAACGAGTTCCTCAGTCTAATTAAGCATTGAGTGAGGAAAGCATTCTTTATCAGTTTTGAATTTGCCATGTTTCAGTTTATTTGAATGTCATCTTGATCTTGTTTTATGAGACAGCGAGAACACATTCTCCATCTACTCGCTACCAGTAATTTGTAGATTTTTCTCATATCACCTCTTATTCATCTCCTTTGTAAGGTAACAGTCCCAGTCTTTTCAACTTTTCTCTTTGTGAGAGTTTCCCCAGGCCCTTGTTCATTCTCATTGCCCTTGCCAGAACCCTTCTTGTTCTGCAATATCCTGTGTGAGAAGGGTGCCCAGTACTACACAGAGGAGTCTAGAAGAGGGTGAAGCATTGATTGATTGACTGACTGGGAGGGAGAGTTAGCTCAGTGGTTTGAGCATTGGCCTGCTAAACCCAGGGTTGTAAATTCAATCCTTGAGGGGGGCATTTAGGGATCTAGGGCAAAAATTGGGGATTGGTCCTGCTTTGAGCAGGGGGTTGGAATAGATGACCTCCTGAGGTCCCTTCTAACCCTGATATTCTATGACTGATCTCATGGCATTGTATTTTCTGTATGATTGCCCATCCCACTCCTCCTGGATCCCAGTGTTTTCTTAGTTTCTGTCTGTGCTTGTACTGTAAGCAGGGTTTCCCAGAGCTGTGTACCATGATGCCCAGGACCCTGTCCTGAGTTCATACAGTGATATTAGACCCCTGTTAGGTTTTTGAGGAGTTCATGCTTTTCCCTCCAATGGGAATATATGTTGCAGTTATTGACATCGAAGTTAATCTCTCATCATGTTGCCCATTCACCTGGTTGGTTAGTTCCCTCTAAGGACTTCCCTGAACTTGACTGTGACGTAAATAATCTGGTGCCATCTGTAAATGTTGCCACCTCATTGCTCATGACCTTTCTAGATTGTTAATAAATATAAAATATTTACTGTACTATTTGTTATAAAGTGTGTAATTCCCCTCACTGTGCCTCTCTCCCTTCGCAGACACCTTGAACATTTCTGAGCCTGATCGATGCATTGACCATCTCATGGCAGCTTTCAACTTCACCCCTTCTGACCCTTCAACATTCATCCTAATTGGCATCCCTGGCCTGGAAGCTGCCCATGTCCTGATTTCCATCCCTTTGTCTATGTTCTACATTATTGGACTGTTGGGAAATTTCATGGTTTTGTTTGTTGTACTCAAAGAGCAGACCCTGCACAAGCCGATGTACCTGCTGCTCTCCCTGCTGGCCGTCACTGAAATCAGCACATCTACCTCCATCGTGCCAAAGGCACTGTGTATATTTTGGTTCAATTTGAAAGGCATTACTGTGGGTGGCTGCCTCACCCAGATGTTCTTTCTTCATGCAGGTTCTATGATGCACTCAGCTGTCCTCATGACAATGGCGTTGGATCGCTATGTTGCCATATGTAACCCTCTGAGATACGCCACCATCCTCACCAACGCACGAATAGCTAAGCTAGGGCTAGTGGCTTTGGTAAGAGCTGTTCTCTTCACTCTGCCCCTGCCCCTGCTCCTAAGCAGGCAGCCATTCTGTGCCAACCGCATTATCCCCCACACGTACTGTGAGCACATGGCTGTGGCAAAGATGTCGTGTGGGGACATCGCAGTCAACAGGATGTATGGCTTGGTGATGGCATTAGTCACCTGGTCAGACCTGACGCTCATTGCCCTCTCCTATGGTCTGATCATCAGGGCTGTCCTCAGAATCTCCTCCAAGAAAGCCCACCAGAAAGCCCTCAACACCTGCACAGCCCACATCTGTGTGATGTTGACGTCTTATCCTCTCTTCCTCTTCTCCACTCTGGCACACCGGTTCGGTCAAGGCATCACTCCCCATGTTCACATCATCTTCGCAAACCTCTTCTTCCTCATCCCCCCCATGCTCAACCCTATCATTTATGGGGTCAAATCCAAAGAGCTTTGTGACAAAGTGGTCAAATACACTTGAAGAATGTGATCTCCTGGGGCCACTGACTTTCAACCTGCGTGACAAGAAGGGGAAAGGATATCTCTTTGTTAATCAAGGGTGCTCTGCCCCAGTTTGGCTGAATTCAGCATTACAGAAGTTCACAGTATGAAAACTTCCACACATCTAACATCTTATCACTCCACCACCAAGAACTACTCTCCATTGACAAAGCCCTGGCTGGGATGATTTAATTGGGGATCGGTCCTGCTTTGAGCAGGGGGTTGGACTAGATGACCTCCTGAGGTCCCTTCCAACCCTGATATTCTATGATTCTATGATTCATTGCTGAGTTCCCTCTCTCTGACCATCACCTGATCTCTTTCAGTGTCACCCACCAGCACCCACCTCCACACACCCTGTCACTCGGCCTTTCCATGACTTCCAGAATTCAGATGTGTTTAGAGCAGTGGTTCTCAAACCATGGGAGGTGTGGGAATGTGTAAAGGGAAGGGGCAAGCTGTGTGTGTTTTTTTTTTTTTTTTAAGAACTCTGGATGTCAGCCCTCAGGGAGCTGGGGCTCCTGCAGAACAGCCAAAAGGCCATGTTTGCATTGCAGAAGCTGCTCCTGGTAGCAAAATTGGATGGATGCTTTTTCTGCCGCTACACCGGCAACCCCCCAGAACTCAAATCAGGCTGGTGCCCTGCGAGCCTCACTAGGTGCCTCCATCCAGCCAGTTCCTCTCCAAGCTGTACCCAGAGACCCCCCTTCACACGCAATACCAGGTTTACGATGGTGCCATCATGCTGGGCCCAAACTTGGCGGGAAACCATAACGACTACATATAAGTGTACAAATCGCTATGTATTTCAATAGAGAACGTGTGTCCATATGAAGAATGAGGTGCTTGTGACAGAGAGCTCAGCAAGAAAGGCTGAGTCAGCACTCTGTTCACAGAGGCTCCAAACAAGCATGGCAGAATGGAGCTGAATACGCGGATCTGTGCTTAATTTATTGCTGGGGCAGAAAGGCTAATTAAGCCATTAGGCAGAGCCCACAAATAGGCACAGGGAGGAAGTGAAAAGGAGGGGAAGCAGGCAGCAGGGGGAGAGATTGCTCTCCTGTTTGTTACAGGAGCTGTATATGTCACGAAGGAGGTGGGAATCTGTTTGTATATTAACTGCACAAGGTGTTGGATGAGCACAAGGGTCTCTGTGTAGTTTGTAGACTGGGACACAGACAGGAGCCAGGAGGCCCTGATAAAATATATACAAACATTTTCAAACAGCTTGTTTTTCCTGTAAGTGCCATATAATCAGGTTGTCGTGGTTTTATTTCCGCCCTGCCGCCACTGACAGTGAAGCGCATGGCGTCACACAGTCAGTGGTGCAGGTGCGTATGTACGCACTGCAGTCTACTGCAGGCACGGGTGAGCCGCAGAGTGGGAGACTATAAACATCAGTGAATCATCAGTAGTGGGGGGAGAGAGCTCAGTGGTTTGAGCATTGGTCTGCTAAACTAAGGGTTGTCAGTTCAATCCTTGAGGGGGCCATTTAGGGATCTGGGACAAAGCAGGTTGGACTAGATGATCTCTTTATTTGTAGGGGGGAGGGATAGCTCAGTGGTTTGAGCATTGGACTGCTAAAGCCAGGGTTGTGAGTTCAATCCTTGAGGGGGCATTTAGGCATTTGGGGCAAAAATTGGGGATTGGTCCTGCTTTGAGCAGGGGGTTGGACTAGATGACCTCCTGAGGTCTCTTCCAATCCTGATATTCTATGAATGAATGAACAAGTCCAAGTGACAAAGAAAATAATGATGAAAAAACATTTAAGTGGTGCTCAAAAACAGAGATGTAAAGCAGACGTTGAAGAGCAGAATGCAAAACTGAGCCATTTAAGCAGTTGCTTTATTAATAACAATGTAAAGACTCCCATTAATTATACTCATACTACTAGTAATGATGATGGGTATGTAATTGAGGATACTTGTACCGTGCTGGGTCCAGCCTACATCTGGGGAGTCAGTTACTGATGGGGATGAGGAATTTTACCCTAGCATATATCGATATCATCTGTGTCATTAGCCAGACCTGGGAGGACCAGGTGACCCAGAGGAGGGGGCTGAGTCACCTCCAGGATGCAGGGCTGATTGCAAAAGCTGGGACGTGCAAGAAGCGGGTGGCAGAGGTGCCCTCCCTGGGCCCCAAGATGGGGACCGGCTGCCTGAAGCCAGAGCCGGTCAAGGTGGAGGCAATCAGAGATTGGCCCGCTCCCCAGACTAAAATAGGCCCAGGTGTTTATTGGGATGGTTTGTGCCCCACTTTAGTGCCATATCTGCCACCATCACTGAGCTATGCAAGAAGGGGAAGCCAGACAAGGTGGTCTGGACCAGGCAGTGCCAGAGGGCTTTCTGTTTGCTGAAGGAGGATCTCGTCAAGGCCGATTTGCTGGTAAACCCAGACTCTCACAAACCCTATACGGTGTTCACTGATGCCTCAGACAGCTGGGGAGACATCCCATCGTGTGCCTGGGCAGGAAGCTGCTCCTCCAGGAGCAGAACTACATGGCCATAGAGAAGGAATGCCTGGCCATGGGATCTAATTGGGTGGCATTTCACTGTGTACACTGACCACTCACTCCTGCTGTGGCTGCACCAGATGAAAGGGGCCAATGCCAAGCCCCTGAGGTGGAGTTTGACCTACCAGGATTATGATGTGGAGGTGGTCCATGGTAAGGGGAGTACAAATGTTATAGCCGATGCTTTGTCCCAGAGTGCGGGGAGGCTGATCTTCCTCATATCACTGGCTAAAGTGACCCCACTCAGTTAGGTCTTGAAGGGGGAGGGATGTGACAAAATGGTGTTTTCTCTTGTTATGTTGTATGTGAGCCTTACTGTTTTGCATGAATACTGTGTGTGCCTCAGTTTCCCTGTGTATTGCACCGCTGCCAAGGTAGTGGGAATAAGAGTGTGAGACTTTTGCTGAGACCCTTTGGGGCAGATGAGGAGGCTCCAGCTGCCTGTGCATAAGTGATAGCCGACGCCCTTCATAACCCGAGACCCAGGAGGAGGATGCGACCAGGTGACACTTTGCCCAGCTTCCAGCGACCGGACCTCCAACATACCTCTTTCCCCTCCTCCTGGTCTTTGTCTCGCTTCCAGGGAAGTCTCCTGTATGGGACTCGGACAGAGGAGTCCAGGGCATCTGGCCCAGGGTCCCCCCCAAAATGGACTTTGCTAAAAGTCACTGATTTCTGTGCTAACAAGCTCTTTTTTACGCTGTGTTCTTGTTGACTAATAAACCTTCTGTTTTACAATGCTGGCTCAGTCATGGCTGACTGCAAAGTGGTGCAGGGCCCTCTGGCTTCCCCAGGGGTCCAATCCAGGTGGGCCCACCGACCCGCCAAGGGGAAGTGTAGGGTGTGAACAGGGATGCTGAATACTCTGAGGTCAGACCAGGAAGGCCATAGCCAAGGGGGCTTTTTGCCCTGGACAGCCTGAGGGAAGTCACACTACACCAGAGTCCTGGCTGTCTTCATACAGAGCGGTCCCAGAGCACTGGACCTGTGAATCCATGACAAAAGGATCAAAAATGCTTTATGTGCTACAATGGTTCAAGAAAGATGTAGCAGTCTTACTCGGTTACCCATCGAATCTGAGACGGTGAAGGCTATAGACTTCTCCAGTTTGATTGAAACGTTTGCGGCAGCAAAGGCATGCCAAAAATCCAAAGACATTTGTCATGTCTGTGACTAGAACCCTAGCTACACGCAGCGGATTGTTTGCATAAGAAATTCAAATTAATATTTGCTCTAATGTACAAATTACTTACCAGAAGTCAGATGAGTATGAATAATGCTGTAAATAAAATGTATTTATTTTTATTTTTATTTTTAAAATGTTTTAAAAACAGTTTTGAACTATCATGGCTTGAATTAAATTTTTGTATGAAATTGGGGCAGTTTTACCTGAGAAATGTAAAGGGTAAGAGACGGGGAAGGTTCCCTTTTAGTGGGAGCAGTAAGCGGTTAAACATAGAAGAGAAAAGCCAAGAAAGAGAACCACTGAGACGATGATACCCAGGATGATCTGAAAGGAGCGGACAGTTACGTTTTCAGCTATCTCCACCATGGAGAAAAATATCAAGGAGCGTGTCCCTTTCAATGTACCCTGGCAAATGCTATCAGAGGAGGGAGGCGTAAACAGTCACGAGGAAGCCTGTTAAATCAGAACATGGGCCATTTAGTTTTTAGAAAGCTCAGTACAGCTACTCTAGCTTTAAAAGTTCCCTGAAGGTACATAGAAAGATTGAAACTGAATTCTAAGCAGGAAGGGAAAGAAACAATATGCCTCTGTTAATAACTAAAATGGGGCAAAGTGGGGGTGGGACATAATTGGGACTTAAGGAAGGACATGAAAAATCACTGCTACTCTGGATCCTACTTAGGTTTTGTCACAGATAAGTTACCGTAGGATTTAAGGAAAAGCCATTCTACAATTTCAAAACACAGGAGCCAGCAACACTAGCCCAGCTCAGTATCATTGTCACCCTTGTCAAGTTCTGCTGGAAGTCTCTCCTTGTGACTGGGTGGACCAGGTCCCGAGGCCCGCTGCTGCAGGCCTCGCAGTCCTACCACATCCTGCCCCAGAAAGAGTAGTAAAAGTGAATCTTCCAGGCTGCCAAAGTGGCTGTGAGGAATACTGCCAATCAGAGAGAGGCTGCAGGGAGCAGCCAATCAGAACGTGGCAGGCCCAGCTAAAAGGAACTGCAGTACCTGAGACGAGTCACTTGCTGTTTGGAAGCAGAGGAGCAAGGATGGTGCTCCTGGCTGGCTGAAGTTCGCAGGGACAGAGCAGTTGCTGGCAGGGATTGGGGGAGCAAGAAGGAGCTCCTGACTGGCAGCTGTTGGAAGTTACTTTGCCTTTTACAATGGCACCAGTAGGAGCATGTACCTGGTGCACAGTGAAACCAGAAAGTGGAGTTATTAGACTAATATATCATGATTCACAGTCATGTAATGGACATGAGTAGGGCCGGGTGAAAGATGGATAAATGTGCGTTCAAAATCAA